GTGGTATGATTTTAGTCGGAAAGCACCGAGGACATCAGTAGATTTTAAACTGCTTACTATTGAGATACAAGATCTTGTTCTATATTGATGCATTCTGGGTACAGAATAAACATCATTGTCTGCATCTCATCACAGGTGGAGAACATAAGGAGAGGAAACAGAATTGCTGCATAAACAGTCTTAACCCATTTCATAATAAGAGCATGGATTTAAAACTCTAGTGACTTGAATTCTGAACAGTTGATAATCATCTACAACATTTTCAAAACATCCAAGGAAAACTTTCTCTTTAGAATGTATCTGGAAAAATATATTTAGGGTAAGCTAAGTGCGCTAAATGTTTTCAAAGTTAGCGAAAATGTTTAAGTGCTAATTGAAAAATGTGTTCCATTTTTAGCAAGTTAGCGGACATGTGCCCATATCCAATTATTTTAGTAATAGTTATTAATTATAGTCACTGAATTTAAATTCTGAAATCAAGACAAAAATGGAAAAAAAAGGGAAGAGTGGACCTTGCTTCAACTAAATAAATATGTTACATCAGAAAGCAGGAAGTTTAAAATTGTTTTTTAAACCAACTATTTGGTTTAAAAAAAAAACTACTAACACACAGTTTTGCTGGACGGGAACTTTAACGAGAAGCAAACCTTCAACAATGGCACAACAATGATGGATAGTCTGGGTGGGTTTATTTCTGTTCTCAACAGGAATTGAAGCATTGGCACATTGTTATGTACGTTGCTAACAATCCTGAGTTGTTAATCAGGATTACACAGACACAAGGTGTGCTGCTTTCTGTTGACATGCAAACCAAACGTCATGTCATTGATTTTTTCAGAAAAATGAAAAACTCTCAGTTGTGTGTCATTCAAGATTGTAGGACGTCTGCAACCAATCACACTATGGTTGGTCAGGCGTTAATGCTCTGTAGATATCTTGGGTGATATCTTCAACCAGAGGGTAAAACACATGGATAGGATTGGATACAGCAGGATTTAGAAGAAAGTCTCAAAATATATGTTGGGAGTCAAAGGGTTGAATATAAAGCTACAATTGTTATTTCTCTATCAACAATCAGTTCCATGACTTTATGGATTTTAAAACAAAATCATATTATCAACACACTTCTCTTGCCTTTGGACATAAAGAACGTCTTGTGACACCCTGACTATTTGTTTTGGGAGGTTGTGGGAACCAACATACGGTAAAACAAGAGTGACTAGCTGTGCTCCCACTACTAGGATCACTTAAGTTCATTAGTGGAACACATTTACTTTGTTGACTTACGACCATAGGGCAGCGCTGTATTTATTATCAGTGCTAGACTGCAAATTGGGTAAAATTAGAAAGGCATTAGTGAAGTAGTTAACTGTACTACTTATTGGACATTTGGTGTGTGTAATGGGTTCTGATAGAGTATGAAAAAATTTTGGACCAATAACTTAATTACAAAAAACATGTTAACAAAGACTGTATTCTGTATGTCAGTCGCCGGTCAAGTTATTACAAGTCTGTCAAAAATAATAATGTTTTAAGTTGGCAAAGACTTCCAGGGTGAATTGTATTGAGTTTGAAACAACTATAATCTGTCCAAGTTGTGATTTACCACTGTAAATCAGTTATTTACTAGTGTAAATCACAACTTGGGCACCATTACCATTGCTTTTTGTTGAACAAGCTGCTTTTTTAATGCTGCTAGCTATCTGTAATATAAACTAAATAAACTAAAACACTCAGAGATTTACTGCAATTCAGAAGATTGCTGACAAATTCATAAAACGTGTAAAATTTTCATTCAGGTTTTAGCAAGTCATTTTACATTAGCAAGACAGACATAACTCTATTAATGAGCTACTATTGACCAAACTTCAACGTGCTTTTAATTTAAATCCAGCCTGTTGAGTTCTGACAGAATCTCTGTTCAGTTCAATATGAAATCTGTTATGGGAGTTAAAAACAGAAGCATGAAGCTCACTGGGGCTCCTGCTGTGTAAACTCTGCTCCAAGGATCTAAGTTAACTAAATTAAATGAATTATTGTGAAAAAAACAGGATGGTTTAAGGCAGTGGTTCCCAAACTTTTTCTCCTTGGGCCCCCCCGAGTGGTTTCCAAACTATTTCTGCCCCCCCCCCTATGGCTTACAAATAGCTGTCTGGTTGAACGATGTGTGTGAGCGAAGTGGGTGGGAGGTGGATTCTTAGAGACTCCCTGTTATGCTCAGCCCCAGCTCCAGACGAACAAGGTGGTGGGGAATCAACTTTTTGGGGGGCAAAATGAATCGTAGCTGAACATAGACAACAACACCAGTAGCCTACAAGCTACTTGTTAACAAGCTTAAGGTGCTGTATTGATATTAGCTAGTCATCTTTTAGTTAACATTACCTGTATCCAACAGCTTTACTCAACAGTCTGTTAGTTTGGGGTAAAAACTGTAAAAGTTCTTTGCGTTTTTGCTGGTTTGCTGCCGTGATTCTAACACACCTGCGTAGCTCCGCCCAGCAGCAGCAGGTCTCCTTCACTACCTCACAGGTCTAAACCCAGTGAGAGCGTCGAGCTCATGTTGCGTTTAAAGGCGGCTCGGAAAAACAGGTTACGATATGTTAACAACGGATTAAACAGTTTTATCTGCTGATAAAAGTAACAGAGGACATAGATATGGGAAATGAGGAAAACCCTACTGTATCAAATTGACAGAGGAATAACAGAGAGTTGGCCATTTGATGGTAAAAACCCAGCGCATACAGCGTTCATGTTTTGTTTTCTTTTATCCAGAGGGCTTCCCGCGCCTCCCATGCAATGGCACAGCGCCCCCTCCAGGGGGCGCACCCCACAGTTTGGGAACCTCTGGTTTAAGGCAATTGGTTTCTATTCAATTCTCTAGTAATATTAACTGATTTGGTTTAAGAGTGTAAAAGGAGTGTAAAAGCTAATGGCTTTGTCTTTAACTCAAGATAGACCTTGAACTTTGGCCTGTTCTGGGATGTTTATTCTTGTTATTCACTTTGTAAAAGGATCAACTTTAAGATTTTGGTATAAAGCACTAAACAGTCTTGGGCTGAAACAAACTTTTAAATTACTTGTCAAATATAAACCACCCTTGAGGTTTTCGGAGACCTCTGGTCCTGTTCCCAGGACCAGAACTGAACAAGGTCAGATTAGCTTTTTATGTTCCTTGAATGTGAAACAAATTCCCTGAAAACCTGAGAACAGAAACTGTTTCCTTTAAATCTAGAGTGAGAAAAATAATTGTTTACAGAAACTTTTGATCAGCTTGGGATCTAAAATTATATTACATAATTATATTTATTTTTATGTTATGTTTGTCAAATTCTTTATTCTTATTTTAATATTTCTGTTGGCTTTGTGGCAAAAAAACAAAAATAAAATTTGCATATGAATGATGCTGTGTATGCTTGGTCTTGTCTAGAAGTTGCTAAATATTATGAATAAATGTTTTTTTTTCTTTTGTTTTTTTTTTCCAATATCACAGAAGCAAGAAACAAATGAAACATTTACTCTACCATCACGTTGACAGCTTTGGGCATTTGGTGTTAAGCTGCTGTTACATTGTTTGCTATCTCAACTTGTATAATAGTATAATGATAAATATTTACTAGATGGGTTTAAAATTGAAACAATGAAAGCCAGTTTGTAGAACATCAAGTCATGCCACATCCTTGAAGTAAATGCTTTTGGTTCACCCTTTATAGAGGATGAGTGGATTAAAATTCATCACAAGAGAAGGAAGAAATACATTTAATTTGCAGTGAACTTACAGTGTCAATTTATATAATTATGTAGGATAAATGTCAGGTGGTCAGATAACTAGAGCATTTGCTGACTTAATCAGAAATTAGTAGAATACAGTCTAAACTTTCAGCATAAACAATGATTAAACCTCCGTTGGCACAGACTGAGCATCTGCATAAGGTAGCATGAGATTAAGAGGTGTTAATCTTTAATATGTGTTGCAACATTTGAGCTACGCAGTAGATTCAATTGATTTGAATCAAATTGACGTCTCAGCTGTGATGCTTACCTGACGAAACCTTTTGAAATGACTAAATATTTGCATTAGATGGTTTCGATGGCAATCCTATTGCAGCACCAGATGCGTAGAAAGGTGATACCGGTCTGTTATTTACAAAAGATGACATATGTTCCAGTGTCGTGACATCCAAGGCATAGCTGCAACCTCAAAACATGTTGATACAGACTGACCTTGAGTACAACACTGACCTGATTATTTGTATATTGACCGTATGTCAGATAAGATGAGAAAGGCAAGACATAATAACGTAAACTACATAGGTTTTTTTATGTTTTTTTGAGGATTTTCTCTTCTTTTAGGCATGGGTCTTTCGAGTAATGAGTACGCCATTTGTGGTATGCGTGTCTGGAGTGCAAATTGGCAAACGTAACCGCGAATGATGTTTTTACATCTCTGTGAATTATCACCTTCATGTCTAAAGCAGGCTGCAGCCACTGTGAAACTGATCTTTGTTACAGATTAATTTGATCTTAACAGCTTCACTAACGTATACAGATGCACATGTAGAGCGCAGAGGCACTACTCTTGTCATCCACTTAACCCTTCGCTGTCACAGCAGCTGAGCTGGCTGGAGCCCGTAGCGACCATGGCAGATCAGGACAGGAATAGACCTGGCCCAGGTTAACCGTGCTCATGTGTTGAGCTAAATATGGGATGGCTCTTTGACTTCACAGAGAAGTTGCATGCAAAGTATTACACCTCTCAGATTACCCTCATCTAAACAGACTGACAACTTTTTTTTATCTTATTGGGAAACGTGACTTAATTCAATATTTTCTTTTCAGGAAAGACTTTTTACCAAAGATTAGGTTGGTTTTTGTCTACTTTGAAGTACTTTAAATGTTTTAACACTTTTGGTCAGATTTAATTAGAAAAAAAAAATTACAAATATATAATTTTTCGCTTGATAAAATGTGGTGGATCTCATTCGTTGGTTTCTTCGCCTCAGGTTCTCCAGGTCCGATGAGCTGTCAAGGCACCGCCGCTCCCACTCCGGTGTGAAGCCGTACCAATGCATCGTCTGCGAGAAGAAGTTTGCTCGCAGCGATCACCTGTCAAAACACCTCAAAGTCCACCGCTTTCCCCGAAGCAACAGGACAGGACGCTCTGTAAATGGACCCCTCTAACCCCCGACGTGACGGAGTGACGCTCAGTGGAGGAGACGGAGGGAGGACTGGATGTCTGTGATGAAACACTGAGGAGGACAGTCCAAAAACCCTTAAAAGGCCTCAGTAAAGAGCTGTATGTGCGTGTGACACGCGTTCTTGGTACTGTGATAATTTATTGGGTAACGAGCAGAAGACTGTACAAAACTAAACAGAAAACTGTTACTTGACGCAGCAATGTCACAGGTGGAATAAGCTTTTCATATATAGAAATTTCATCCTCAAATCTTTTAGCTTATCTGTTTAGAAGACAAATTTGCTATTTTTACACTTTTAGGAGCATCTTATGAACAAATCATCCATATCAATCTTTTTTTTTTCAGTCACTGAAAAATCTCCTTTTTAAAATCCCTCTTTTTTTTTCTTTTTTTTTTTTTTTTACCTTTCTGGTAATTGTTTCTTTGAAAAGGAAAACAAATTATTGTCCAACAATGAACATGAAACATGAAAATGGAGCCAAAAAATAAGAGGATGTTACAGCAGGCTTGGTTGAATTCTTTCTCAAGGATTTCAAAGTAGCAGATGCATCAACATTCCTCAAGCTTTAAAAAGGCTTCTTTGATGCCCCAGAATCTCAAAATTGGGAAAAATGTTGAAGAAGCTCCACAAAATAACAAAGCTGTTGATTTATTGATCTCCATTGTAAATCATCACACTGTGTAATTAGCACTGGCACATAGGAAATTTTCAGTGATCTGTCCCATCGGAGAATCTCTGAGTAAATTGTGTTGTTTTACTGCAGTCTGAGTCAGTTTAATGTTGATTCTCCTCAAAAAGCTTCTATCACATCAAAACCTATTTTGATGGATGACTGTGAATTGAAGCTAAAGCTAATGGTGGATCCAAATGGTCCTGTGTGTCCGCATCACAACTTCTGTTTTACAACTTGGTGATATTTTGCCATATCATTCATAACTTTATGTAATTTCATTTGCCTCGTATCACTGTTATGAAATAGCAGTAGACCTAATCTGAATAAGCTGAAACAAAATTAGTTTTTTCTCTTCCACTGCCAAACAAAAATAGATTTTGAATGTGAACATCAGTATTATTTATCTTGTCTGACTTAGAAATCACCCCTGGTTGTCAAAATAAAGGTGATCTGCGGTGTAACTGTCCAAAGTAGAATTTAAGAGAAAAATTGGGTAAGATACTGGACCATTAAAAAATATACTGGAAAGTTCAAAAGATGGAAAGTTCATGTTTTCTAAAGAGAGGTTCTGTAAAGTTGTATGCAGTGTTAGTTTCTTTACTCTCTACTCTAGAAACAGGAGAGTTTGTACTCTGAGTACAAACTCTCAAGTTTCTGTGGTAGAAACTCTACAAGAAACTTCTAAAAAGTTTCTACGAACTTTCTACAAGTTTGTAGAAATGAAGAGACGCTCAGACAGATGGAAAACTAACAGTGAGATGCACCTTTTAGCTAGCTAGGTATTTTAAAAACCCAAACAGGAATTGTCCAGACTGACTTGGTTGTCAGGCTATGTCAGCAGATAACAACCATCTATACACCTTCGAAAGAGACACTCATTGTGAAATAGTTGACTTTTAACATCTACTTGAAAATTACATCTTGTAAAAATGAACATTTTCAGGTTTAGTTATTTGAATAAAATAAGCTAAATTAACAGCCTTCGTTATCCTTCCACTGCTCTGAGGATTATTTCACTGTTTTTACACCGTTGTTGCAATTCAGAAACTTTCTGTTAAAACTATTGCTGTTAATAACTTTGAAGAATCCCAGTGAAACAAAGCAACTGTCCCTCTAAGGCTTATAGCAGGATCATTTTTGGGGGGGAAATTTGTTTGGTTAATATCAATTATTCTGAGATCTGACCTGCAGATTTCAGTTTTTTACTAATTGCAATTTTTTATTATATATGTCTTAAACATAAAAATCAGAAATACTACAAAGAGAATCATTTTAAAACACACAGAAAATGAAGACATTAGAGGAGTATTCTCATTTATGTATCAAACCACATATGAATAACATTCAGCTGATTCCTGGTAAACCCAGATCAGAGTATATGCTGTGTTTTAAAGCATTTACTGATTGAACATAGTGGGACATTTTAGTTTTGGCGTATTTTATGGGCACAACATCAAAATTTACAACCATTGGTATTGAATCTTAGTAATAATCATGGAAAATTGGCTGATGTCAACCACTGAAACTTGGACTGGCAGAGAGTTAAAAATAAACATACAGTGTCTTGTTCATAAACCATTGGTAGAGTCACTTTAATTTGTGGAGTGTTTGGGTTCATCTTGAAAAAAATACAAAGAAACTTGAACAAATTTAACTGGAATGTTTTCTCTTTTCTTATTGGATTCGTTTAGACTGGAATTTATTGCATCACGTAACTCATCTCATTTTTTTTCCCATTAAAACAGGTTTGGGTAAACATATAAAAAAAAGCATCAATGAAATGAACATGTCATGTCTGCCTTTGTCCTTTTCTTTACGGGAACAGTGTTGGGCTTTTTGCCACATCACATTTTCCAAAAAATTAAGTTTTCCTCTTTTTTTCCCTCCTCTCTGTATGATGCCATGTATCTCTTTATCTCAGCTGAACTTAAGCCAAATGTGCCACAGCAAGGCAGGACTTGGTTTCTGTGCCATAAATGTGACAGGTGTCAGCGTTTTTTATTCACATTTAAAACAATGGTTGTTGAAAAGTTTTTTTTGTGTGTGTGTGTGTGTTCATTTTCTCAGTGATTGACGGATCTATTTGAATGTTCAGCACGTGGCCCTTGATGCTGTATGTAGAAAGTGTATTTGCTCTGTCAGGCATTCCTTCCATGCATACAGAAGACACACTTTTCTGAATGTGTATTAAAGATGTGATCCATGAATGTATGTAAATACTGTACATGCATCAGAAAGGACAACTGCTTGTAATGATATCTGTGATTGTGAAAGATTTGTTTTTTGTTTTGTTTTTTTTTGAAAATGTAGAGAAACTGTACATAACAAAATATTTTGAATATAAAAATATATATGTATACTGTAAAATAAGGAGAATATTTTTTCTGGTGTTCCTAGACCACATATGTTAAAGTGGCTCAGTGAGTATGTGAGGATATGGTTTCAGATTTACCTGACCATCTATTTTTCCAAAAACGTGCTATTACCAAGGTCATGTCAGCTGGTGAAATAGCAGCTTCTACATGATGCATCATAAAATATCTCCTGAGTTGTTTACAATATGTGGTCTGTACACACTAAAAATAAGAATTTACTCAAATTCTTATATATTTTTTGCTTTGTTCTACTATGTAAAACACATTTACAATAAAATTCTAAAGCTTAAATCCTATTGTTGTTCATCTCTAACTGATTTATAGCAACTCATATTTTGGATGTGCTTTAACTTTAATAATCCCAGTTAGATTCAGTTCCCATTTTTGCAATATGTTTCCAATATTACTGGACTTCAAATGTTTTGTTTGGCTTTCAGTTGTTTTTTTTTTCTGGTATTGTAATTCAAAGTAGAGTTCCAGGGTTTCCAGGTGTGAAAAAGTTATGAAATGGAAAACAGAATATAGAAATATATTTGTGTTTGAAGAATTTACTCCTTAATCTGTGAGTTTAGCCAATCCTGTTTCAAAAAGTGATTGAAAAGCTCTACTGAAGGTCCAAACTTTGATGTTTAAAGTCCTTAAGGGCACAAAACACATTTTTATGTAAAAAAGAAAAGAAAAAAAAGAAAAAAATATATATTTATATCATCAGGATCGTCAGACTGATTTAGATCAGTTCAAATGTTTAAATTTTGGCACAGCAGTGGAGTTTTCTTGGCTAAATGCTCATTTGTGAACTTTGTTGCCTTTAGTTTCTGTATGTTAGAACCAATGTTCCTACTCAGCATGAATTTCATGTATTTAAGCAAGTACAGCTTGGCCCACATTTGATTAGTAAATCAGTGGATTGAATTGATTTTTGTAAAATGCCTTGAGATGACATGTTCCAAATTGGCACTATATAAATAGACTGAACTGAATTGAACGTGAGTTCAGTCAGTGAATCAAAATGTTAAAATCGAGGTTTGGTTTGGCAAATTTAAAATAAAGCATGTCAAATTAATACCAATATGAAAACAACTCCATTTACTCCTTATTAACTGACTTTTGCACGGTAGGAAATGTTATAAGGAAAAGAAATTAGGAAAATCTCATTTTTTTCATTATTAAGGACAAGAAATCTATAAAACAATTTCTATATATTTAAAATAAAATTGTGTAGTTCTGCATTGTTTTCTTGATGTTTTACAATAAACAAAACACAATATTTATATTTAAAACCTTTTTAAAAAGTGTACATCTGCATCAGCTTCCTTTCTTGACTTTTTGCGCCTAATTTTTTTTGAGGACAGCACTTCTGAGACTCCTGTTCTAAGAAGTCTGAATAAGATGTTTTGACATAAAGAATGTGTAGGAACCCTGGACCTGCCTTTTGAAGGCAGAATTTGGTACAATTAAATACCTGATTTGTATCAGAAATGGTTCTTTACAAGCATGATAGTCTCTAAAACAGTCTAACCGCGGTTTGCTTTCACACAGAACTGTGGCAAACGAACCAAACCCTGAGAAAAACCTGTTCTCACCTCCCCCACCCCTCCTTCGCCTGTGGGGGCACTGCAGCAAGAACCACTTAAAGAAACAACACGAAAACCTCAGAAGAAGACACTGAACGCAACTTCCTTCTTCATAAAATGTAAACAAAAATGGCGTGGTCTCAAGAGTTTAGCAGATGTTCAATAGACCCTTTTCACATGACGTCACACACCTTCCGTTTTGGCTCGAAGCTGTGTATCCTTTAGTTAGCTAGCTAACTACGTGACATAACTGTTCCTTAACCAGAACTTTTTACTGTTTTTGAACTATAACGTTTTAGGCTCTAATCTTGATCAGATTCTTAAATTATAGACTGGAGTTGCCACTCATCCCATAAAATAGGGGTTTGTTTGTTATAAGCAGAGATGTCCGGTGCTGCTTTGTAATGCCTTCCTCTAATCGGACCACTTTTTCGGTAACGAATAATCTAACGAGTTCGTATTTCAAATCCAGTAAGCAGATTAAAGTTACTTATCCAAATCACTGTGCATTAATATTTTCTTTTGTATTTATTTTTATTCC